TCCTTGGCTCAGATGTCTCCCACCTTAGCCTTCCGAGTAGCTGGGACTACAGGCATGTACCACCACACCTGGCTAATTGTTTTCTTTTTATTGTTTTGTAGATATGAGGTCTTACTGTGTTCCCCAGGCTAGTCTTAAATTCCTAGCCTCAAGCAATCCTCCCTTTTTGGCCTCCCAAAGTGTTGGGATTAAGGGCATGAACCACCACACCCAGCCCCTAAGTACTTTAAAGAGCCAATTGAAAGACCTACTATGTGTGAAGTATTAGACTTTTCCAAGCTATCCCGCCCCCTACCGGCCGCCAACCAATCTCCTTCCTGATCTCTCGTCCGTCCTCCTTTCTGCTTACCCGGGGCCCACTTGTCCTGGCACAGCTAAATCCAATCCAGACACGTCTTCTGAGGGACCTTCCTGGACTACAGGGCTGTCTTCTTTCTCTCAAAAATAGCACTTATGGGTGGGTAGGTGGCTCACGCCTGTAATCCCAGCATGGGGAGGCTGAGGTGGGTGGATCATCTGAGCCCAGTAGTTCCGAGACCAGCCTGGGCAAAATGGTGAAACCCCATCTTTACAACAACAACAAAAAATCCTTTATGGAGCAGCAGTTCATAAGAATGGCTGAAACTTACAAGGCAGCCACTATAAGCCAGGTGCTGCTCTGAGAATTTATACAAATTAACACTTAATCCTCACAACAACCTGAAGTGAGTACTATTGTTCTGTCCATTTTACAGAGGAGGAAACTGAGGCACAGAGACAAAGTGACATACCCAAGGTCACACAGCCAGGAGGTAGTGGGTGAGGGATGCGAACCCTGGCTTCGGAGACTATGCTCTTTTCATGGTGACCCTCTAAGATTGACTACAATCTTCTAGGGCAGAGCCGTGGCCTCTCTTGAACAGTCCGTGAGTTTAGAACGGTTTTTACATTTTAAAGGGTTGTAGGAAAGGAAAAAAAATGAAACAAAAAAGACAGTGATCTTATATGGCCAGACAAAACCTTAAAAAAAAGACTTATCATCTGGCCCTTGAAAGGTCTGCCAACCCCTGCTCTAGGTACATGAAAAGAAGGTGCCTGGGACACACAGGCGCCCCTGCAATAGCTACTGGATGTGTGAACAGCATGTCCTTTAGTCTTTTTTTTTTTTTTCTGAGACAGTCTCACTTGGTCACCCAGGCTGGAATGCAGTGGCAGGATCTTGGCTCACTGTAGCTTCTACCTCCCAGGTTCATGCGATTCTCCTGCCTCAGCCTCCCAACTATCTGTGACTATAGGCACGTGCCACCAGGCCCAGATAATTTTTGTATTTTTAGTAGAGATGGGGTTTTACCACATTGGCCAGGCTGGTCTCAAACTCCTGATCTCAAGTGATCTGCCCACCCTAGCCTCCCAAGGTGCTGGGATTACAGGTGTGAGCCACCACGCCCAGCCTCCTTTCCTTTTTTTTTTTTTTTGGAGACAGGGTTTTACTCTGTAGCTCAAGCTGGAGTGCAGTGATGCCACCATGGCTCACCTATCTCAGGTGATCCTCCCACCTCAGCCTCCCAAGTAGCTGGGACTACAGGTACACACCACCATGCCCAGCTAGTTTTTATAATTTTTGTAGACGCATTGTCTCGCCATGTTGCCCAGGCTGGTCTCGAACTCCTGGCATCAAGTAAGTCTCACTCCTCAGACTTCGAAAGTGCTGGGATTACAGGCATGAGCCATGGCACCTGGCCAACAATCTTTAAAACATATATAATCATTTACTTGCCTTCTACAGATGTAGAAACGGGCACAGAGAGGTTAAGCAACCTCTCCAATGTCCCACAGCCAGTGCAAGGTTGGGCCAAATTTGAACACAGGGCAGTGCCACGACACCACCCTCAGACTCCTTTTCTTTGGTATTCACCACCTCTGCTCACCTGTGCTGTTTATTACCTTAGTAGTTTCTCTACATTTGTTGAGCACCTACTGTGTGCCAGGCACCAGTTAGGCTGGAGGGGGAGGGAGGACAGTGGGATGAGGTCTCCTCAAGTGCCTGCCTTGGGGTGTGATCCTTTCTCTTCATATAAATGCCCACTTACGCATCTCCTTGTTCCGAGCCTACTTGGTGCCAGGTACCCGCTGGGAACAGAACCGTGGGCTGCAGCCCTTCTGCCCCTCGGTGTTCACACCTGTCCCCTCATGTTCATACATGTGGCATTCAGTGATGGAAAAGGCACAGGCCTTAGAATCAGACAGTCCCAAGTTTTAATCTCCTGGCTCTTGTACTCACAAGCTGTGAGGTCTTGGTCCAGTTTCCTTCTTTTTTCTGCAAAAATGGGATCGTCCGCTTTTCTTTCTTTCTTTTTTTTTTTTTTTTTGAGACAGAGGCCTGCTCTGTTGCGCATGCTGGAGTGCAGTTGTATAGCCACTGTTCACTGCAGTTTCCGCCTCCCGGGTTCAAGCGATCCTCCCACGTCAGTCTCTCCAGGAGCTAGGACCACAGGCAGGCCCATTTTCTTCTCTTTCTTTTTTTTTTTGAGATGAAGTCTTTCTCTGTTGCCCAGGCTGGAGTGCAGTGGCGCTATCTCGGCTCACTGCCACTTCCACTTCCTGGCTTCAAGCGATTCTCTTGCCTCAGCTTCCCAAGTAGCTAGGATTACAGGCGCCTGCCACCAGACCAGCTAATTTTTGTATTTTCGGTAGAGATGGGGTTTCACCATGTTGGTCAGGCTGGTCTCGAACTCCCGACATCAGGTGATCCACCCACTTCGTCCTCCCAAAGTGCTGGGATTGCTGGCATGAGCCACTGTGCCCAGCCTAATTTTTAAATTTTTTGTAGAGACAGGGTCTTCCTATGTTGCCCAGGCTGATCTTGAACTCCTGACCTCAAGCAATCCTCTCACCTCAGCCTATCAAAGTGCTGAGTTCACAAGTGTGAAGCCACTATATCAGGCCTCGGTCAAATTTCTTAACCCTCTAGGCCTCAGTTTCCTCCTCTGGAAAAAATGAAGATGACAGTTGCTGGTGGTGGTAGCACAGCATTGGTGTGAGGATTAAATCATAAGCTCGTACAGCTCTTGGCATGGAGCCTGGCATATAGAAAATAATCAATAAACACAAACAGGCTCACGCCTGTTAATCCCAACACTTTGAGGGGGCACAAGTAGGAAGACTGCTTGAGGCCAAGAGTTCGAGACCAGACTGGGAATATAGGGAGACACCGCCCCCCGACAGCGCGTCTCTACAAAAAGTTTTAAAACTAGCCGGGCATGGTGGCGCGTGCCGTTGGTGCCAGCTACTGCAGAAGCTGACATGGGAGGATCGCTTGAGCCCAGGAGGCAGAGGCTGCAGCGAGCCGTGCAACACAACTGCACTCCGGCATGAGCAACAGAGCAAGACTCTGCCTCAAAAAAAATTTTTTTTGCCGGGCGCGGTGGCTCACGCCTATAATCCCAGCACACTGGGAGGCCGAGGCGGGTGGATCACGAGGTCAAGAGATCAAGACCATCCTGGTCAACATGGTGAAACCCCGTCTCTACTAAAAATACAAAAATTAGCTAGGCATGGTGGCGTGCGCCTGTAGTCCCAGCTAGTCGGGAGGCTGAGGCAGGAGAATTGCTTGAACCCAGGAGGCGGAGGTTGCGGTGAGCCGAGATCGGGCCATTGCACTCCAGCCTGGGTGACGAGCGAAACTCCGACTCCAAAAAAAAAAAAAATTTTTTTTTAATTAGTTTCCCAGAGGTTTGGGGGGGTCACTGTCGCAAGCCACGCAGTCCGGCATCCCCTTAATTCAACCTCCCAAGAAAGCTCCAAACTCTCAAAGTCAGATCTTTTGCGCCCGCACTTTTCATTGGGCGAAAGGAAACCAGGATCCGCCCCTGAGCAGGAGACAGCCAATGAGGGACGCGCGACCGAAAGCCCGCAGGAAGGCCCGCAGGCTCCTGCAACGGGACCCCTAGCCTAACAAGCCCCGAGGCACGTCTTCAGGCCGGCGGTCCCAAGACCGGTCCTCGGACCGGCAGCCTCCCTCCCCACCCTCTGCGGAGCCCACTCCCCAGCTGGGGAAACAGGCTTCGGGGCGCTTCCCGGAGCCGGTTCTTGGGCCCCAACGTGCGTCCCAGCCCCATGTGTCTACCTTCCGGGCCCCGGTGTCATCTTCCGCCTGAATCTCAAATTTGCCGTCCTGCGAGTCGCTGCCGCGGGCCTTGGAGGCCGCGCCTCGGCGCTTCCGGAGCCCTTTCTTCTTCCTCCACTGGGCCATAGCAGACGGCGACCGAAGTCCGGCCGCGGGGCGCTTGCCCTCCGCCATTCGGGCCGCGCGCTGGGAACGCGGAAGGGGCGGGGCCTGCGGCGCGTACTAATTGCGAAGGTAGGGAAGGAGCGGTGGTCACGTCACCCCGGCTGCACTTTCGGTAGTGCCTGCGGCCCTGGGCAGCCTAGTACACACGCCCCTGAGTGAATGGCACCAGAGGCCCCTCTCCGTGTTTAGGAACTTCCTGGGCGTCAAGAACGTGACGCCCGTCCCTGGGCTGACTCCCCCCCCCCCATCTCCGGGCGCGAATGGTCCGAGCCGCGCCCGCAGTGCTGCTGCCTGCTCCCTAGTTGCTGGGTTCTGGGTTTCTGGATGCGCGCGTCGCTCACACGTCGCCTGGGCCGGCTCCCTGGGTGAGTCGGTCTGCGCGCTGTACACCGGTACGGCCTGGGCTGCCGGGGGTCCGGGGCCCCGGGCATTCCTGGCCGAAGATTCACAGGGATTCCGGATGCACCCAACGCCTCTGTGCCCTCGTTGACTAGTCCAGACCTGGTGGGAAGAAGGCGCGGGGAGAGGTACCTGAGGACCCCAATGCCTATGAGCCAAGATGCTCAGGTAGGAGAACAGCTCAAAAATGCAGGGACCTCGGGCATTTTTTAACCGGTTCGTTGATTTGGGAGTCGCAGAATATGGGGAGGTGGGGGCGGCGGTGATCTCCCAATAGCAGTGTAGTGAAGTACACAATCTCTGGACTCAGATTTCACTTCCACCGTTTTAGCTTTATAGGTGTGACCTACCCATGTGACTTCACCTCAGTTTTGTGATCCGTAAAATGGACAAAATCGAAGCTACTTCACAGTGCTGTTGAAAGGATTAAATGAAACAATGCTTGTAAAGCTCTTTGCAGGAGGTAGGCATGGGATCCACGCTGGCTGTTATTGCCCCCATCCCCATAATACACACAGGATATAGGAAAGTGCCTGTCTCCCCTACCACCATAGTGTGTTTTCTGGTTGGTGCCTAAATGGGCACAGGTGTCACCTCTCCTTCACCCTGAGTCAGTCTATAAATAATTGCCAATAGCACCCCTTTCTCCATCATTATGACGACTTAAAAAAAAAAAAAAGTCAAAGGGCCAGGTGCGGTGGCTCACGCCTTGGGAAGCCAAGGTGGGTGAATCACGAGGTCTGGAGTTCAAGACCAGCCTGGCCAAGATGGTGAAACCCCATCTCTATTAAAAATAAAAATAAAAATTAACAGGACATGGTGGCGGGTGCCTGTAATCCCAGCTACTCAAGAGGCTGAGGCAGAGAATTGTTTGAACCAGGTGGTGGAGGTTGCAGTTGCAGTGAGCCGAGATTGCACCATTGCACTCCAGCCTGGGTCTGGGGTGACAGAGTGAGACTCCATCTCAAAAAAAGTAAAAAAAAAATAAAAAGCCAAAGAAATTCCTGACATACCCCCTGAAGTTGACAACTCCCCTTTGAGAGACTGGCTGAGAGGGAACTAAGCCCTTGGGATGAGAACTTCAGAGACTACCAATCTTCCTCCATTAGCACTCCGATCTCCTCTCACAGGGAGCCTCAGAAGCAGGACCTGCCCGGCAGATTACACCCGCTGTCACCAGGGACCACAGGCAGCATGAAGACCCCCATGGAGCTGGCCATCAGTGGGATGCAGACCCTCCACCTTCAGCACCACCGCCGGGCTGGCTACCGGGTCAAGGTCAGGCCGTCATATGTGGATGAGAGTCTGTTTGGCAGCCCAGCAGGCACCCGGTCCGCCCCACAAGACTTTGACCCTCCCTGGGTGGAGAAGGCTAACAGAACCAGAGGCGTGGGCAAGGAGACATCGAAGGTCTTGGGGGCAAAGGGGAGCTGTGAGACCACCCCCTCAAGGGACAGCACCCCGACCCCCACACCAAGGAAGAAGAACAGATACAGGTAATGGGGTGGGGAGATGCAAATCCTATACTCAGTGTAGCCACCTGGGTTCCAGTTATAGCCCTGGTGCTCTGTGATCTTGGGCAAGCATCTTTACCTCTCTGAGCCACAGTTTACTCATGTGGAAAATAGGACCAGTGATTCCTAATGGGGGATTGTTGATGGATTAAATGAGAGAGGGGTCTGCAGTGCTTTGCATAGTAACCTAACAGTTAGAAAGCTGTTAATAAATGGCAGTGTTGATGGTTGTGATGGTGGACTCCCTAACCCCAAGTGTCACAACTGGACATCTGAGGCCCAGAGGAGTCAGCTGATGCGTAAGATCACACAGAAATTTGCATAAGGTTATTAATATTAATGTGATTGATCCTTGAAATGGCATAGATGTGGTGTTTCTGAAGTCATTTTGAAAATGGGTCTTGCCAGGTGGGGTAGTTCATGCTGTAATCCCAGAACTTTTGGAGGTTAAGGTGGGATCACTTGAGCTCAGGAGTTCGAGACCAGCCTGGGCAACGTGGTAAAACCACGTCTCTATTAAAAAATACAAAAATTAGCCGAGCGTGGTGGTGTGCACCTGTATTTGCAGCTGCCAGGGAGGCTGAGGTGGATCACTTGAGCCCAGTAGGCGGAGGTTGCAGTGAGCCAAGATCACGCCACTGCACTCCAGCCAGAATGACAGCGAGACCCTGCCTCCAAAACAAAAATAAAAAATTAAAAATGGGTCTTGCTGCATTTTCTTGAACAAGTTAGAAAAATAGTAACTAATGCAAATTGTTATTGTTAATTAATTAGATTAGAATTAGATTATTTGGACTGTTTCAGATTAATATCAGCCTGAGGGAGGTATCTAGTGGTGAGCTACAGGGCTCTGTCCTGTTTATTGTTACCAGTGGTTTAGACAAAGATGATTAGCACGGTAGTTGGCTAGGGCTGCCGTGACAGTACCACAGACTGGGTGGCTTAAACAACACAGATTTGTTTTGTGACAGACTGGAGGCTGGAAGCCCAAATCAAGGTGTTGGCAGGTTTGGTTTTTCCTGAGGCCTCTCTCCTTGGCTTGCAGTTGCCCACGTTCTCACTGGCATCATAGGGCTTTCTCTCATTTTTTAATCCTTCAAGTACATGCAAGGGCCTTTTCTGTATGCACACACGTAGCCCTGGTGTCTCTTCCTCTCATAAGCACACCAGCCCTATTGGATTAGGGACCCGCCACCCTCGTAGCATTATTTAGCCTTGGTTACCCTTTTTTTTTTTCTTTTTTCTTTTTGAGACAGAGTCTTGCTCTGTCACCAGGCTGGAGTGCAGTGGCGCCATCTTGGATCACTGCAGCCTCCACCTCCCGGGTTCAAGCAGTTCTCCTTCCTCAGCCTCCCTAGTAGCTGTGATTACAGGCATGCACCACCAACCCCTGGCTAATTTTTTATTTTTAGTAGAGATGAGACTGTTAGCCAGGCTGGTCTCGAACTCCTGAGCTCAAGTGATTTGCCTGCCTCTGCTTCCCAATGTGCTGGGATTACAGGCATGAGCCACCACATCCGGCCAGCCTTAATTGCTTTTAATTCATCTAAATAATTAAGGCCAAGTGTAGACACAAAGGGTTAGAGCTTCAACATATGAGTTTGGGTCGGCACAATTCAGTCCGTAAGAACTGGCCAACTAAATTTAGGGTTCATTCTGAGCCACGGGGATATATTTCATGTGAGAGAAATGAAATGAGAATGGGAATGATTCCTATTACAGAAACAAGAATCAGTTATTACCAGTTCTGTAGACAAGGCAGGGTCAGATGGAGATTAGCAACACTGATACCTACAGCATGGCTGAAAACACTGAGGTAAAGGTAGGCTGCATTAACAGAAGTATGGTGTCCATGAGAAGGGAGGTGACAACCCCCGCTCACCTGGAGGATGGAATTTTCTTCCGGATCCGAACAAGTAGAGGGTGTCAAGTGAGGGGGTGCATAAGAGGTAGAGAAGTTATTGAACACAAAAACCTTGGCACCAGACATATGGAGGCATTAGCTGATGTGGTTTGAGCAGCTAAACCAAGTGGCAAAAGATTGCCCTTTCCAAGACTTGCGGTTTGGGGATAGAAACAGTTTCAGTCCTGGCCAAAACCTATGCCCTGAATATCTGTTGAATAAATTAAAAAATAGGCCAGGCAGGCTGACTCAGACCTGTAGTCCCAGCACTTTGGGAGGCTGAGGTGGGAGGATCACTTGATTCCAGGAGTTTGAGGCCAGCCTGGGCAACATAGCGAGATCCCTGTCTCTACAAAAAATAAAAATATTAGCAGGGCATGGTGGCACATACCTGTAGTCCCAGCTACTCTGGAGGCTGAGGTGGGAAGATTGAGCTCAGGAGTTTGTATCTGCAGTGAGCTATGATTGCGTCACTGCACTCCAGACTGGATGACAGAGTGAGACACTGTCTCTTAAAAAAAAAAAAAAAAAAAAAAAGAGGCCGGCATGGTGGCTGACGCCTGTAATCCCAGTACTTTGGTAGGCTGAGGTGGGTGGGTCACGAGGTCAGGAGTTCAAGACTAGCCTGACCAACATAGTGAAACCCCATCTCTACTAAAAATACACAAAAACTAGCTGGGCATGGTGGCACGTGCCTGTAGTCCCAGCTACTTGGGGGGCTGAGGCAGGAGAATCACTTGAATCCAGGAGGCAGAGGTTGTGGTGAGCCAAGATCGCACTGCTGCACTCCAAGCCTGAGCAGCACAGCAAGACTCCATCTCAAAAAAGAAAAAAAGAGAAAGGTGGGCATGGTGGCTCACATCTGTAATCCCAGCACACCAGCCTGACCAACATGGTGAAACCTCATCTCTACTAAAAGTACAAAAAAATTAGCTAGTCATGGTACCACATGCCTGTAATCCAAGCTATTCGGGAAGCTGAGGCAGGAAAATCACTTGAACCCAGGAGGCAGAGGTTGCTGTGAGCCGAGAGTGTGCCATTGCACTCCATCCTAGGCAGCAGAGCGAGACTCCATGCCCCCACAAAAAAAAAAAAAAACGAAAGAAAATGGGCATACTGACTCGTGTATAATCCTAACACTTTGGGAGGTTAAGGCAGGTGTTGTTTCAGCTTAGGACTTCCAGACCAGCCTGGGCAACATAGTGAGACCTGATCTCTACTGAAAATCAAAAACAAAAAAATTAGCTGGGCTTGGTGGCACTGTGCCTGTAGTCTCAGCTACTAGGGAGGATGAGGTGAAAGGATTGCTTGTGCCTGGGAATTTGAGGCTGCCATGATCTGTGATTGCACCACTGTACTCCATTTGAACAGCAGAGTGAGACTGTGTCTTGCCAAAAAAAGAAAACGTGGAGGCTATAAAGACTAAGGTTATACTAATTGAGTCTTGATTACAAGTGACAGAAAACTTACTCAAACTGGCTTCCCCAGGAAAAGGCACTTGGGGCTCCTGTAACGGACTCAAACTGTGGCTGAAACTGTCCTTCTCCATCTTAGTGTTACTTTGGGCTGACATCCTATCAGCCTAGCAAGAAGTAAGATCAGGTTGCATCTCTTTCCAAGTAGTTTCCACAATGGTCCTAAGGCAGATTCTGATTGGACAGGCTTGGGTCATCTGGCCATTCCTGAACCAATCCATGTGGCCAGGAGGATGGAATATGCAAATTGGCCAGGCCTAGGACACATGCCTGGGAATGGGGTCAGGATGCAGGGGCAGTGGATGTTTCGCCGGGGAGAATCAACCGAGACGGGGGCAGTGGTGCATCAGAGGGCTGTGGCCTCACTGTAGGTTTCAGCCTGGGAGACAGGGACTCCTGGGATCTACAGGCAACCCTTCTCTGCTGCTGCCAGGGTCTGGGGATGGGTGGGAGAGATGTTAAGGTTTTGAGAGTTGTTCATCTCATTCCCCATCTCATGACATTTATCTTCCCCTTTGCCAGACTGATCAGCCACACCCCATCTTACTGTGATGAGTCGCTATTTGGCTCCAGATCTGAGGGCGCCAGCTTCGAGGCCCCACGGATGAAAAAGGGGGATGCTGCAAAACTCCGTGCTCTCTTCTGGACACCACCAGCTACCCCCAGGGGCAGCCACTCACCTCGCCCCAGGGAGGCCCCACTGCGAGCCGTTCACCCAGCTGGTCCTTCCAAGACAGAGCCCAGGGTGACGGCAGACTCCCAGAAGTTATCCATGGATGGGTTACACTCTTCACACCCCCTGAGGCGGGGACTTTCCCGTTCCCTCACCCACCTGAATCTCCCCAGCACTGGTCATCCAGCCACCAGTGCCCCCCACACAAATAGGCCTAAGGATCTCAGGCCTTCCACATCAGGGGTAACCTTCCGGAGCCCCCTGGTGACCTCCAGGGCTCGCTCAGTCAGCATTTCAGTGCCAGCTACCCGACAAGGTGGGGCTACCCAGAAACCGAAGCCCCCTTGGAAATGATACTCTTTCATCAGGGTTGCCTATGGGACCACTGCGAGAGGTGTGACCCCTTGCCAGGGTCCTCTGGGAGGACATTCATCACCCAGGGAACCCTACGTATTGAAGAAGCCCCAGTAGGGGCAGACAGACATAGCAGGGGCAGGCACAGTGCTTCCCTTTATCCTGACAATCTCTACTCGCTTCTTGCCTTTTTCTCCCCTGATGGCGGATTTGGGGGCCGCCTTGAAGATTTCTCACTCCAGCCCTGTCTCAGCCACACTCCAAATTAGTGCCAACCGAGGGGCCCGGCACCTCCCACATCATCCATTGTCTTGCTGCCAAGTGCAAATAAACAGTGCAATTGCCAACCTGGAGGTCCCCTCCCCTCCCTTCAAGCCATGCTTCGTGCTCAGGATTAGTTTCCAACTGAGTTTGAAAGCCTTAGATGAGTTTTCCCAGGCTGTGTGTGAAGCCTGGGGAATGCAAGGGCAACTGGGAGATTTGTGAGTGAACACTTTCATCTTAATATGGTTCTGTATTTATTTTCATGTACTAAATATATCAGCTCATCAAAGCCATGAGTGTTCCTTTTTTTCCCTTAGGGTAAAGGACATTGTTAGGCCTGAGCTGATTTAAATAACAAAGTTAGATAGAACGCGGAGTACCAGGATGTGGCAGACAGCATGACAGTGGTGAGTGAGTGAAGTCTGGGAACCCGAGGCCTCAAGAAACGCTGGACTCTTCCTCCCATTGGTTTCTGGCTAATGCCACTAACCAGTTTTGGCTGGTTCTTCCTCAGCTCAGAACACAGACAATAGTATTTTTTTTATTTTTAAGAGGTGTGTGTGTGTGAGAGAGAGAGAGAGAAGGTAGGAAATAAAACACAATGGCTAGGACTTTGCCAAGTGGAAGGTCCAAGAATGCCAGACATGCATCTCCAGAGCACTTAGGATGGAGCCCAGGACTTAGGAAAAGCAGCAAAGCCTTTGCTCAGATGGAATTGCACCTGGATTTAGCAGTGAGAGCTGGGCTTTGGGCCTCTCCTTGCCTCCATCTTCCTGTAAGGCACCTCCAGGAAGCACCAGGATTCTAGGGCGCCACATCATCAGTTTGGTACCCCTGCCTTGGGGCAGAGAAGAGTGGATGCTGCTGGGGAGGGAGACCGCAGTGCCCAGGATCAGGGACACGTGGAAACGTCTGTGGGGTCAGGCAGGCCAGCTGTGCTCTCATGCAGACATGCTTTGCTTTTTGGTTTTTGTTTGTCTTGAGTTTTTTTAAGAGACCGGGCCTCACTTTGTTGCCCGAGCTGCAGTGCAGTGGCTCAATCATAGCTCACTGCTGACTTGACCTCCTGGCTCAAGCCATCCTCCCCCTCACCCTCCTGAGTGGCTGGGACTACAGGCATGTACCACCATGCCTGGCTGCTTTTTTAAAAAAATTTTTTGTAGAGAGGGATTTCATTCTTTCCAGTAAGAAACAAGAAAAAGAGGGAAAAAAGAGACATGAATCTCACTATGTTGCCCAAGCTGGGCTCAAACACCTGGCTTGAAGTGATCCTCCCACTTCAGCCTCCCAAAATGCTGAGATGACAGGCGTGAGCCACCTCATCCAGCTGCAATGTGCATTTTAAACATATAGAATGTCTAAGTTTCCTGGAATTTTTAAAAACAATTGGTTATCCATGCCCACCTTGATTTTTCCTGAAACGTCCATCTTGCTTTTGCCTTCCCATCTTCCCCTTTGTTTTTGTCGACATGGGCCAGAAATACCTCTCTTTCCTTGCCGGGAGTGGTGGCTTCACGCCTGTAATCTTTGTAGATTTGTAGATTTGTACTTTGGGAGGCCAAGGTGGGTGGATCACCTGAGGTCAGGAGCTTGAGACTAGCCTGGCAAACATGGCAAAACCCTGTTTCTACTAAAAATACAAAAAGTAGCCAGGCATTGTGTTGCACTCCTGTAATCCAAGCTACTTGGGAGGCTGAGGCAGGAGAATTGCTTGAACCTGGGAGGTGGAGGTTGTGGTAAGCTGAGACCCAACCAGTGCACTCCAGCCTGGGTGACAGAGCGAGACTGTCTTAAAAAAGAAAAAGATATGCCCTAAGTGCATGCAATAAAAAAAAAAGATAGACCTCTCTTTCCTCCCAGCTACAGTAAAATCTGGCAACAGCCCGAGGTAACAAAGGGGTAACTGACACCAGGCTCTGGTATCTGGAAGGCAGTTGCGGGTGGTAGGGACAGGGGCAACCTACTCTCTACTATCTAAAGAGAGCTGCTGCTGCTGAGCCCTAGAAGATGTGCATGCCTGGGGTATCTGGATAATTAGATTTCTTCCCAGAAAAGGGAGAAAGTTGGATTTCTATGTGGTAGCCCTCTGTTTTTTAAATGCCAACAAATAATTTAAAAATAATTGTTCAGGCCAGGTGTGGTGACTCATGCCTGTAAGCCCAGCACTTTGGGAGGCCAAGGCAGGAGGATCAGTTGAGGCCAGGAGTTCGAGACTGGCCTAGGCAACATAGTGAGACCCTGTCTCTACACAACATTTTATTGTTTGAGATAAGGTCTTGCTCTGCCCCTCAGGCTGGAGTGCAGTGGCATAATCTCAGCTCACTGCAACCTCAACCCTCCCAGTCTCAGGCAATCCCCCTACTCTAGCCTCCCAAGTAGGTGGGACTACCAGCGTGAGCCACCATGCCTAGCTAATTTTTTTTATTTTTTGTAGACAAAAAATAAAACATGAGTTCTGCTGTGTTTCCCAAGCTGGTCTTAAATTCCTCAGGTCAAGTGATCTGCCTGCCTCAGCCTCCCAAAGTGCTGCGATTACAGGTGTGAGTCACCACGCCTGGCCTAAAAGCTTTTTACATATTAAAAAAAAAATGTTGTTTTAGGTAATTGTTCAACTCCCTGGAATGCGAGGCTGAGGGCTGCGGGGACCTCAGGACTCCCCCTGAGCTTTCAGTGCTGGAGCTGGGGAAGTTGCAGGCAAATTAATCCCACAACAAGGTCAGGGCAGCCTGAAACCTGAACCCTGCTCCTCCTGGAGTTCCCTGCCTGCCTCTGTGCCCGCTATGGGCAACTGTGACCCACACCCCGCTGCCCTAGTAAGTGATGTGTCCATCATGGCCATGGCGGCTTCCGGGCTGCAGCTGGGGTCTGGTCTCCCACTAAGGCTGAAGTAAGGAACCATCATCTCTGGGCTGACACCCCAGGCTGCATGCTCCTCGCAGAAACAGCATCTGTGAGCTCGACACACACAGCCCACAGCCCTGGGTAAAGAGATGTATTTGTAGAGTGTTCCCTTCAGTGTGGCTTCAAATGCTTTTTAATTCATTCAATAAAAACATCATGAAAGTCATGAATCTAGTGCTCTCCATCCTGGCGGCTTCCGGGGCTGGTCTCTGGGAGGATGAGGGTCAGGAGCGGGCTGGGGTGGAGAGCTCATTTCTTGCCCTTGCCTTTCTCCTTGCCTTTCTCCTTGCCCTTCTCCTTGCCCTTTGCTTTGCCCTTGCCCCGCTTCTTCCTGGATCTGAGCAGGGAGCGCACCAGGTAGCCCTTCCATACGGCCTGGATAAGCGTGGCTGCCCGCACCATGTGCACCATCTCCTGCTCTGCCTCCATCCTTTTCTTGGAGTTGATCTCCCGCTCTTCCTGGATCTGCACAAACTCCTCCACCAGCACTTGGTGCTTCCGCTTCAGCTCCTCCAGCATGATCTTCTCCTCCCTGTGAACAGCTTCCAGATCCTCAAACTCCTCCTTCGAAGAGGGGTGGGACTGGGGTCACCACCCTCCTCCCCAAGACCCACCTTTCCCAAATGGGCTTCTGCCCCAGCGATGCCTGCCCTTAAGCTAAGCTGTTCAGCATCTCAGTCCCAAAGAGATGGATGGGGAGAGGGGATGGGCTCCATCCTACCTCTAGGAAGGACCTGACTAAAATAATTTCAGGAACAGGAAAAGAACAAGGGCTCGTGAGTTGGGCAGACTTAGTTTTAAGTCCCAGCTTTGCCACACCTCAACTGACTTCACCTTTTTTCCTCATCTGAAACATGGGGATGATTCCAAACCCAGTGGCTATTTCTAGGATGAAATGACCCAATGGACACAATGTACTGAACATGGTGCCAGGCACACAGTGGGGACACAAGAAATGGAAGCTGCTGCCCTAAAGCAGCCTGTTATACAAAACACCAAAGTAGAAGGAGCTTTCTCAGGCTTCAAACAGAGCCCGGAAGTTCTTCCTCATGTCTAACTGCAGCCTCTCCTGCTGTCATTTATACCTGTTTTCCTTCCTTCCCCTGATATCTTCCCAGCATCTACAATAAGCAGAGCATCACCAGAGGACACAGAGCTGGGTGGACAAGGTCCCTGCCCACAACCAACCCACAAGCCTCATGGGGCCCAGAGAAATGAGATCCCCAGCCTACGAAGCTGCCCTCTCAGGGCCCTGATGGTTGCACAGGATAAGTCTCTGACTTGCCCTTCTCTTAAGAGCACCCTTGGCTTTGGCTCACTCCAGCTCATGTTACCTCCAGTGCTCCCCCGGCCTCCCTTCCCTGGCCCCTAGGTCGGAGCCTTGGGCCACCAATGTTATCCCAGGGCTGGGTGAAGGGTTTGGGGGTGTCTCGATTTGAAGGTTACCACCCCCTGGGCACTTCCTCCGGGCCAGACCCTGTACAGGGCACACACGCATGCAGTCATGAAGTCTCACTGAATCCCCACCATGGTCCCCAGATGGGAACTACCACCTCTGCTGACCAGATGCAGAAACAGCTCGGGAAGGTCAAGTCCCTTGCTTAAGGCCACACAGCTGGCACATCTCAGATGCTCAGTAAAAGCTGGCTGAGTGACTGAGTGACGCGGTAGAGGCAGGCTCCCATCTAAGTCTGCAGGGAGGAGCCCCAGACTGGCAGGAGCCCAACCAGAGGACTACGGGATGTGGACACTAGATGGAGCCACAGTCATTAGGTCCAGTATCAGGCTTTCGCCTAGCCAGTCACTTTTTTTTTTTTTTAAGTAGAGACGGGGTCTTGCTCTGTTGCCCAGGCTGGTCTTGAACTCCTGAGCTCAAGCGAACTTCTGACCTCGGCCTCCCAATGTGCTAGGATTACAGGTGTGAGCCACCACACCTGGCCTTGCAGCTTCTGGCTCTTTTCTTTCCCACCTCTCACTCTACCCCAGGCTGGACAAACCCTTTAAACAAAGGAAGTTACTCTCCCCAGAGACGCTCAGAAGTTTGCCCCCTCCGTGGACCATTCTAAGGCTGCTCCTCCCATTCCTCCCATCCCTAGAGGGTCTTGGGAAAAGCACACGAGACTTATTCAGTGACAAATACCTGCTTCTCACCCATCTCTGTATCATATTTCTGGATCCAGTTCTCGATTTCTGTTTCCACTTTATATTTCTTCTAGAAAAGATCCAATTCATCATTATTTGATGGAATAATATGAACAATCGACAGCACTGATCACCCTCTGCATCACTGTGGCAGGTGCTTTACATGCCTCACCTATTGAACCCGCACAAGGAGGTTCCCTTTTCTCCATTTCACAGGTGAGGAAACTGAGGCTCAGACATGCTATC